ACAACAGCTGAACATCAGCTGAATATCAGTTAAACAACAGCTGAACATCAGCTGAATATCAGTTAAACAACAGCTGAACATCAGCTGAATATCAGCTGAACGACGGCCGAATGACAGCTGAACAACAGCTAAATGTCAGCTAAATAACAGCTGAACGAAGGCTGAATGACAGCTAAATCATTTATTTTTTAACTATATCTACTGGATGTTTAATAAAAACCACCTGTTATGTGTTGGTTTTATAAAATAGTTCTTTGCTTTACCTGAGCAGAGTAAACAGGAAGTAGAAATAAATTTGTTTGTTTGTTTGTTGACAGGAAACAGCAGCGAGTGTCCTCCTCCGGAGAACGCTCCAGATAAAACGGTGTGTTTGGACAACGGCGAGTGTCTGAAGGGAGAGTGTATTCCTTTCTGTCAGGCCGTCCTGAAGCTGCAGCCCTGCGCCTGTAACGGTACCACTTCACCTCAGAACCAGATCTGAAATGTGATGACATCACCTTTAAACATCTCTAACAGAGCCCTGCTGTTTGGGACAAAGAATGTTGAGCTTGTAAAGTTTTCTCTGTTTGACCTCATTGCTACAGAAATATTCAGATTTTTAAATTCTTCTGTTCAAGGTTGAAAAGTTAAAACAGAAAAACGTGTTCCATGTTGTAATGAGTTTAAAACACACCGTATAAAGATGTAAGAACTGTTCTTCCTGGCGGATTTGAATGTTTTTAGTTTTATGTTATTTTTTATTTTCAGAAACAAACACGTCATGTAAAGTCTGCTGTCGGAACAGCTCCGGTATCTGTGCCCCGTACCAGGACCAAACGGGCCACTTCCTGTACCTGAGGAAAGGCAAACCCTGCACCGTGGGTTTCTGCGACGGAGCGGTAGGACCCTCGGACCTGAACACCCACTTCCTTTAATGTTTGTTTGTTGTTCTGGATGGTGGTCTTGAAGAGTTTTAGAAGTGAGCCCAAACATTCATGTTGAAGGGCTTCATGTTTGTTTGACTTTATTTTAATTGCACTTTAAGGTCAAAACTCACTTTCTGAACCACCCTGAGTGAGAAGGATCTCTGAGGAACAGAATAAAAACATGTCAATAAATGAAGGAAATAAACCATGATGTTATAAATCAACACTAAAGATGGTTTACCTCCGTATTCGTGCAGGGGAGGTGCATGAAGCAGGTGCAGGATGTGGTGGAGCGGCTGTGGGACTTCATCGATAAACTGGACATCAACACGTTCAGTAAGTTCCTGGCTGATAACATCGTGGGCTCAGTGGTGGCCTTCTCACTCCTCTTCTGGGTTCCTTTCAGCATCCTGGTCCACTGCGTGGTGAGGACCTCATTACCTCACAATGATTCATCTCATTAGATGAAGATGTATTTTAGTTTTTAAGAACATCTCTTGGAAACTGAAATATTTTCTTTTTCACTCTAAATGACGTCAGTTTTTCTTATTTTTTTTCTTTTTAGGACAAGAAGATGGACAGACAATACGAACAAACCACCAAGTCTCTGTTTTTTCCTAGTGTGAGTTTCCAAAGTGGGCCCAAAAAGTCTGCAGAAACTTCCAAGTTCCGTGTACTGTGTGAAAGGGACCAAGTACTCAGCCTTGAGGAACTCCGATAGTTTTCTTTTATGACCCTGTAGCTGCGTTTCCATTGCAAATATGCGCCAAACTTTGTCGATATTCTTTTAATGTCAAAAAAACACAGTTTCGCAATTGCTGTGTTTCCATTAAGTAAGAAATGCTATTAAAGTCACGCGTGAATACGTTTTTTCTCGCGATAAATCATTACAAATGGTGGCAATGGATGTAAACACATAGGATATTGCTACAGCGACACTAGTGCTCATGATCAGAGGAGACGTTGGCGTCTTATCCAGGCTTTCAAGCGACAAGCCCCTTACTGTATATTTGGGAGTGGCTACATATGCTGTGTTTTTGGGAAATTGTAGTTGGTGAGTTTACTACTTTCTTTTACAACTTCGGTGATTTTACTACTACTTCTGCTTCCTGTTGTCATCGTTTTTTGCCAGTAGAAACAGCCGGTTCTTGATCACGTGACTCCCATGATGTGAAAAAAGTGTTTCCATTGCAGTTTTGCAAAATACACCAATTTCGATACGGTCGAAAAACCACCTCATCCTAGCGCAAAACATTTTGTCGAAAAACAAGTTTTTTTCGAAATTGACGTGTTTCCATTGAGCAAATTTATTTTCGAAATTCTAATTAGCGCATTTTCATGGTCAATGGAAACGCAGGTGTTGACAGAACATCTTCAGCATGAGTCAGAGTTTTTGGTCTTTGTGTCAAAAGATGAACGTCAGTTAAAAAATAAATAAATAAGTAAAAGATTTTATGATTTCACTGACTGCAGTAATTTATTTTCCCAGAATGCCGAGCTCCTGAGCAGCCTGGATTCTGCTTCTGTTCGAGTCTTCAAGCTTCCCAGCTTCCCGGCCGGTCCGGTGCGCCTCCAGCCAAGCAGCGGCCCCCAGCAGACCAGCTCCCCGCCGGTCTTCAGTTTTGGCGCCGTGCTGGGCCACACCCCCCAGCCTCTGGACAGCCCCCGCATGGCCACCATCCACGAAGACCCCAGCTTAGATTCCCACCGTGGAACGGAGGAGCTGGAGGAGGCGTTCGGGTGTCCGGCCGGTGCGACTCAGCGCTCCTTCGAAGACCTCACGGACAAAAACCCGATGAGTCGGAGCCAGAAGTCGAAACTGTTCCGACTTCAGAGACAGCATCAGATCGACAGCAAGGAGACTCAGTGCTGATCCAGAGACTGCCACCTTCTCAGACCTGCATACCAGACCGGTCCTGGTGCCAGGACTCCACATATGGTCTAGTTTACTATGACTCTCAAGGGGATCCAAGCAGCTTCATGAGGCCATAGAAATTTTACAAAAGTCTGTATCTGGCCCGCGGGCCGCCTGTTGGACAGGCATGGTTTTAAAGGGATCCCTGATTAGTTGTAACATTAAACTTTATTTGATAAACATATATTTTAACTGTAAAATAAAGACTGTAAAAATACTGTAGG